ATCCTTATGCAGCCTTCCCAGCGGAGCACAGAGCCCAATGCGGGGGCTTGATCCTAGGACCCTGAGATCATGACCTGATTTGAAGCCAAGAATCTGTTGCTTGACTGACTGAGCCACCCAGGTGCCCCAATGCACACATTTTTCTAAATATTGCCCTTAAGGGTGGTAAAAATTGTTTCTTTGGGGCAAATATTTCTAAAATATTACAGTGGTTTCTAGTGCTTTGAAGTTCAACTCTACTCAACAAAATAGTATTTCTTGGTATTTAATGCCTCTTTCTTTAGGAAGAGTTTTCCTTTTCTCCTAAGGGGTGGGGTCCAATAATGAAAAAGAGATTGGGAAACTTGGGTATGGTGGATCCAGACAACTTAGGTTCACATCCTAGACCCACCAATATTCGACTGGTTGTATGAGCATTGGAAAGTTTCTTAATGTCACTGTATCTCAGTTTTCTCACCTATAAAATGGAGATATTAGCCCCTACTTCACATCATTGCTTTTGAATTTTTAAATTCATTTTTGAGCACAATTGACACACAATGTTATATTAGAAGAAATGACCCATTTTAATAGTATAGCAACAATTGCTGTAAGGGAATGTACAGACTGATTTATGATTACCTTATGAAAAACACTTATTTTGGCAATCAGACAATGATGCTTCTTGGTAGAGCTGATATCTAAATTGAGCCCCTAGTATAATTAGGAGTTAAATGAAGATGAAGGGAAATTTTCATACTAAAGGAACAGCATTGGCAAAGCCTAGAAGTTAAAATGGAACAGAACTCTATTGGGGAAATGGAGGTTGTTTAGGAAAGGGTGCATAAGGGGAGAAGTAGAGAGTGGATAGAAGTGAGCTGGAATGGCGGTCAAGGAATTTGCATTTTATACTAGGGCAAAGAGTATTAAATAATGGTTTTAAGTGTTTTAAGTAGTGGCCACACTTGAGTAATTTTGATGTTCCTCCTAAAAGAGGCAGAATATATATATCCTTACCTGAGTGGTGTTGTGCTTTGCCATGTGGCTTGCCTTGGCCAATGGGATGGATGTTAGTGGACATGACATAAGCAAAGACTTAAAACGTACTTGTAGTTGAGTCTGTCCTCTTGCAATGTTTCCATTACCATAAGAAGAACTTGCTTTGAGGAGTCCCCTGGATTCAGAACAATAAGAAAAACACAGAGCAGACCTGAACCAAATCTACCATTTGGAGCCAAGCCTAGAAAAATCTAATATATAAAAAAAAGCAAAAGCTATCTTAGCTTATATTTGGAACTGGGAGCACAAATGATTATTGTTATAAGCCACTGAGTGCTAGGGTGATTTGTTGCACTGTAGTGTAATAGCTGACCAGTACAGAGAGGGAAGCAGAGAAAAGGACAGTCAGTTTGAAGATAATTAAAATCATCTTGCTGAAGTAGTATGGTGGTTTGAATAGGATGATGGCAGATGAAGCAGAAGTAAGAAGGTATTTTGAGAGGTACAGGGGGCAGAATTTGAAGGGCTCATTGATATTTGACTCAGGGAGAGGGAAGAGGAAAGCATGCCCAGGGTTCTTGCTGGTATAATTGGGAGAGTTCTGAAACTGTTCTGAGAGCCACAGACCACAGAAAAAGAACAAGTTTAAAGGTTCTGTTTTCAACCTAGTGAATCTACCAATGCACAGCCAAGTGGAAATGTCCTTGACATCTGTCTATTCACCTACGAAATGAGGATGACATCATGTGCCTCTACTTATCTCAGAGGACTACTGTGCAGAACAAACAAGATAAAACACACAAGTGCTTTGAAAAGAACACATAACCCATCAACTACGATAATTATTAAAATTTAAGCACTAACACTTTCATTTTCATGCTGCCAGATGCAAAAAACACACTCTAATTTTATTTTTGAAACCGTGCTACAGAATTTGTAGCTAGTCACACATTCTTTTTTATTTTCTGAGAGCAGGCAGAGCTGATGCTTCTGAGAAATAATACAAATGATATTTGTGTTTTCAAAGACACATAAGGTATAGAATTTGGAGTAAAAAGATTGTAGGGCTACTGTTGAGACGAGTCAGGGCTCTTGACTCGTGAGACCTCAAACTGATCATTTAAGCTCTCTGGGCTCCCCCTTCTTCATTTCTGAAGTGAAGGTTTGTACTTGTTGATTTCTAAAATATCTTGCTGTTCTCAGATACATGAAATCATGGGTTCTCATAGCATTTTCAGCTTTACTTACCTCCTACTAACTAATGATACTCTTCAAATTTGATCTGTAGTTTAGAAGAGTTTCACACTTGCCTGTCCTCACCCACGTTAGCTCAGTCTTTATCAGCAACTTTTCTTTTGGAACAAATTCAGGCAGTCCAGATTGCCTGTTACATCCCAGGCAGGAAGGCTTATTTTCATCTATGTGTGAGGGAGAAGGATCTAGAAGGAGTTCTGATTGGTTTACTTCTTTCACTACAGCAGAATTCCATTTACCACTTAGTCAAGGTGGTAATGAGGGTCTCCATACCAGGCAACTGTGGCTGCCATCTGGCAGGCCAGCACCACACACTCGGCAGACAGAACCAATTAGTCAGGCCCCACACCTCCCAGGAGGTCTTGCTGTATTTGGTGGCTGGGTGTCAGCTCTGCTGAGTCTCCCACAAGAAACCTCATCAAGTTGTAGAAGGGGAGGGGCAAATCATCTCCCTTTGGCAGGACAGAGCTAGCAAAGAATCCAGATCTTGGAGGTCCAAGGACAGCTTCTTCGAAGAACATTCTGCCCATGATAATGGCGAATGCATTATGTACCAGAAATGGGCAGCTTGATGTGGTAGAGGGAGTATCAAGAAACAAATTTCTGTTTATAAGAGAAAAACTATAAATGACTTCAATGCCCACCATTAAGGGATTAGTCTAATGAGCCATGTTATAGCCATACAAAGGAATGAATACAGTTGGTGATTAAGGATTTAGGATTTGGTCTTTGATTATGGCTCTGCCACTTCCCAGCCTTTTGACCTGGGCAAGGTGCTTGACCTTGTTTTTTTCTTGTGTCATCTATGAACTGAAGACGATAAGAGTTCTTATTTCTTTGGGTGCTTGGGAGTAGTAAGTTAGTCAACACATGTAAAGAACTTAGAATGGTGCCCGGCAGATAATAAATGCTATTTAATGTTCATTCTGAGTATGATTCTCATAGCCTTTCCAGATGATGCTTAGTATGAATTTTTTGAAGCCAGGGTGAAAATTCTTAATATGAAATGAATCAAGCAGGATAATGAAGGATATATACAAAATTACTCTCTATATATGCATAGAGAAGAGAAAGAAATATTATTATTATTTTTTCTTTCATTGAGTTTTCTTTTTTTCTTATTTATATTCTCCATCTGCCAAAATTGTACATGAGTATGCAATACTTAATAATAAAAAAGATGATTTTTTAAAAAAGGAAGAAAGGACTAGAGAAGAAAACCTGGATAAACATCTTATCTCTACACTTAAGAGTGACTTCAACTTTTCTGAGCCTCGGTTTTATCATCTATACTAAAGTGATAGAAAAAACACTGGTTTCTACTGTAAAAGATTAATTCCAAGGAATAAATTTTAAAATTTACCTGGAAGTAATCATAAATTACTTAACCAGTAATAAAGTGTTTTATAACTATAATATTATTACCAAGGTCATCCTAAGGGAGTAACAACAAATACATTAATGCTAGAGTCAAAATTATGTAAAAACTCAGATGTCTTTAGAAGTTCAGAATGGATCATTTCACCTCTGCCGATGCACTACCTCCTATTCCAACCAGGCCTTAAATTCAAGAACTACTTGTAAGACAGTCAAAAAGGGGCACCTCAGTGGCTCAGTTAGTTAATCCTCTGCCTGTATCCCAGGTCACGATCCCAGGACCCTGGGATGGAGCCCAGAGTTGGGCTCCCTGCTCAATAGAGAGCCTGCTTCTCCTTCTTCCTCTGCCCACCCTCCTTCCCTTGCTCATGCTCTCTCTCTCTCTTCCAAATAAATAAGCAAAATCTTAAAAAAAAAAAAAAAGTCAAAAGAACACATTAACTGGGGATTTCGAAGGTTCAGCTTGTGGTGTAGGCTGTGCCACTGACATTTTGGGCAAGTTACTTTCATTTCTGGACTCACATTCAACTAGACCTTGCAGAGTATGATCTGAGGTCCATTGGGGGGCCATTAACCACTTTAAATTATAAGCTTTGCAGAATCCTTATGAGCAAAAGACCACAAATCCATAGACTTTTATTTTCTCAGATGACTAAAGACTAGCTAGTATCTGAGTGATTTTGTAAGGGCTATTAAAATTATAAACTAAAATAGTTATGTTAGAGTTTACTGCAGACTCTAATTCAGTATTCTATGAAAATATTTGGCTGTCACTTAATGCTTGGCAGCACTGCAAAACTCCTACTCTATGTGTCCGTCTAATTGCAATTTCAGCAATTTTTGGAAATGGTACTTTGTTATCAATGAATCATTAGTTTTGTCTTGATTTGGATCCAGTTTTCAATTGCTGCTATTCTTTCTTTTTAATTACAAATTACTAATCATATAGATTTATCATTATCATGTTAGTTTGTTGTGGATTGTTTGGTTGCTTTTTAACAGAGTACAGTGATGTATATTTCTGTCAAGATTTTTGGCTGATAATTTTTTGATATGTAGAATGGTTGCATTGGATTTTGAAAATAAATGATCTCTTCCTGTAAAGTTAAAGCAGACAAACCTACCCCCCCAACACACCCCGAATTTGCATGTACATTTACTCGGATTGCTGTATGAGTATCACTGAGATAGCCACCGATAGAGTAGGTTGGCCAACTCAGTTGGTGGTCAACCAGGATGCAATATACAAAATGACCTAAAAATTTAGTTTCGGATTTAAAAGAAACAAATTCCAAGTCTATCTTAAGAAAAATATAATAATTACCAATAGAACAAGAGCCTGTGGTGTGAATCTGTTTCCAACCTAATCCTGTATTTTCCTAGTCAATTACCAAGGAAAGTTTGGGTATCTGTCACTCTCTTTGCCATCCAGAAATCTGCTACTGAGTGCTCCTTTTAGGACTTTCTGGTTGTTCTCTGGTTTCTGATTGTTTTCTGGGTGCTTGCTTTCTTCCTCACCCTCTGGGTCATGATTGAGTTGTTGATCAGTAGGATTAGTAGGAGCTGGGGAGTCTGTGCTCATCTGCCTTGTACCACCATTCATGGATTTTTGGAGTACTGTTTGAGTTTCTGCCTTCAAGTTCTCATTTTCCTTGCTGTGAAGAAACAGTTTTGTTCTTTGTTACTCACAGGGCAGTCTTGCATACGCTAGGCTGGCATAAGAAACAGAAGGTGTGAGTCTCGTGGTGTGAACAGTGGTAACTCAGCATGGTGGAATGAAGGAGTACACATTGATTATCTGTATGAATCATTTACTATAAAGAGACTGTGTTATCTTCTCAGAGTTTAACTCTATCCTCTTCCTCATATTCATGAAGAGAATCCAAATGCTCTTAGATCCTTAAAGTAAGTAATGGCGGTGTCAAAAATGAACCTTGCAGGTTATCACATATCTTACCGACAAATCTAATGGGTATTTTTAGGGTTGGCCACTAGAAGAAGAGCTCCAATCAAGGGGGTTTGCTAGCTCCAGTCTTGCTCCGTGTCTCTCATCCTGTGGCTTCTTTTTCTTTCAGTAGTCCTCCATTTAAGTTTAATATTAAATAGAGAAAAGAAAAGGAAAAAAGAAACTGTAAGAATGATTCAAATAGATGCAAATAAACAGCACAATTTTTAAAAGATTCAACCTTGTTTAATAACTAAAGACTCACAAATCAAAACAAGTATATAAGACATCATTTTAAATTTAGGAAACATTTTTGGAAGTAAGAAAGTCAAATGCTAATGGCCATATAAATAGACATAATTAATATAGTGGGTGACCTGACAAAACATTTGAAGAGTCAGTCAGGAAGTTGTAATGGGTTAACCTTCTAAATCAATATTTAAGATAGTTTATTATGGGTAAAAATATAGAAGAAGAAAAATTTCAAACTCTAAGTATTTAGCAATGGGTGAATATGTTGAGCATTTCATTCTGTGTTCATATGATAGACTTTATAAAGCCACGAAAATAGTAATAATTTTAATGACACAAAACATGTCCAGTTATACAAATAAGTGAAAAATATAATTATCTCAACTATGTAAAATGCATGTGCATAATATATATGTTTATGTGGGGAAAATGTGTAAAAAAATATGACAGAAATAAACAGTAAGTTTCTCTGGGTAGTAGAACTCAGAATATTACTATACTATCTTATAACATTATTATTCTAAAGTTTTTACATAAAATATTATTTTAAAATCAGAAAAAGTCAATTTCAATATAACTATAGAAGGTATTCTATAAACTTTAGCCATTAGTACTGATGCAATGGAAAAGATCCATTTTAAAAAACATATTATCTGAGCATAAAACAGTCGCTCTGATATTTACTGATTTGAAAAAGCCAAACCACAGACAATGATTTGAATGTATGTATACTTTTTATAATAATCTTCTTGGTTGTGGCAGCATAGACAGAAAAGAAGTCTTAAAAAAAAAAAGAACTCTGAGGAACACCTATGTTTACATAGAGAAGAAGAGCCCTAAAGGAGATTTAGAAGAAATTCTCAGTAAGGTAGAGGGGAACCAGGAGTATGGGGTCTTGGAAGCAAAGTACGATAGGATGTTTCCAGAGAGAGCATTGTCAACAGTATCAGAGGCTCCAAAGAAATGTGGGTTCTGAAAAATGTCCATTGAATTAAGCCTTAAGGACACCGACAAGCATCTTGACAAAGGTGCTTCTGTGAGGTAATGGAGGTGGACCCCAGACTGAAGTGGGTTGGGGAAAGAGGGAACCAAGAAACCAAATACTGGAAGTATAATCTCTGTGGAGAAGTTTAGCTGCAAGAGAGGAGAGAAAGGGGTTGGTGACTGGAGTGCAATATGGGTTTCAGATAGGGCTTTATTATTATCATGTTGAAGGACTGTGGGCACTTCAACACATTAAATGCCAACGGTGAAGAATCCACTGGGCCAGAGGGAAAGAGAGGACATTATTGATGAAATATGATGAACACTGACAAAGGGATATGGGGTATCATCGAGAGAACAGAGTTAGAAATGAAATCTCAGGGTAGGGGTAGTAGGGAGATAGGGAAGGAAGTCTGAACTAAGGGCAGATGGCCTGAGATAACTGCTATGAAGAGTTGAGAAGAGCTGATCAGAACAAGTAGCCATGAAGGTTGGAGACCACAGTTTTGTGGCTTCAGTGTGAGAGGATGCATGCTTTTCTCTAGGATTGCCCGGACGTCCTTGTGGAGATGCAGAGAAGGAGAGTCGGACTCATTCCAGGCTGGGATTTGCCAGACAGGTGCAGTCAAATAATAACAGAGCAAGGTGGGAATGTGAGAACAAATAGTGGATATTTAACAAATAATTCTTGCAATGAGAGAAGACATAGAACATATGATCTCTGACCTCAAGAAATTTAATTTCATTTGACTGTCCCAAAACAAAACAAATAATAAAGTTAACAACTGGTATAAACTTTTTAAAAAAATATTTTATTTATTTATTCAACAGACAGAGATCACAAGCAGGCAGAGAGAGAGGGAGAAGCAGGCTCCCCGCTGAGCAGAGAACTGGATGCAGGGTTCGATCCCAGGACCCTGAGCTCATGACCTGGGCTGAAGGCAGAGGCTTAACCCATTGAGCCACCCAGGGGCCCCAACAACTGGTATAAACTTGCTTCTAGAAGTCAGATTGATAGCTTCTATGTAGTGGTTACCTTTTGAGGGAGATAGAGAGCCCAGAAGGGAACCCTAGGGCCTGGTATCTGTACTATTCTGGTTTTTTGTTTTTTTGTTTTTTTGATCTTGGTGTTTGTCACAAGGGTGTATCACTTTTGTGAAAATTCAGTGAGACTATATATACAACATGTGTGGTTTTATGTGTGTGTATATACGATAGATATTACATTGTTATAACATGCTTAAAGAAATTCATATAAAATTTGCATAAATATGAAACATACCTAATTAGTGTATAAATCAATGTCAAATGAATATTATAAAGAATCAGTGCTGTTTGAAGTTCATAGGAAAGAGAAATAACAGTGTAGAGGTTCCTCAAAAAATTGAAAATAGAGCTACCCCACTACCCGGGAATTGCACTACTGGTTATTTACCCCAAAGATACAGACATAGTGAAAAGAAGGGCCATATTTACCCCAATGTTCATAGCAACAATGTTCACAATAGCCAAACTGTGGTAAGAGCTGAGATGCCCTTGAACAGAGGAATGGATAAGGAAGATGTGGTCCATATATACAACGGAATATTACTCAGCCATCAGAAAGGATGAATACCCAACATTTGCATCAACATGGATGGGGCTGGAGGAGATTATGCTGAGTAAAATAAGTCAAGCAGAGAAAGTCAATTATCATATGGTTTCACTTATTTGCAGAACATAAGGAATAACGTGGAAGACATTAGGAGAAGGAAATGGAAAAATGAAGGGGGTGAATTCAGAGGGGGAGATGAACCATGAGAGACTGTGGACTCTGAGAAACAAACTGAGGGTTTCAGAGGGGAGAGGGTGGGGGGATGGGTGAGCCCGATGATGGGCATTAAGGAGGGCATGTATTGCATGGAGCACTGGGTGTTATACGCAAACAATGAATCATGGAACACTATATCAAAAACTAATGATGATTAGTATGGTGACTAACATAATATAATATTGAATTCAAATAAAAAATAAATACATACATAAATATGTAAGTAAATAAATAAAAGTGAAATAGCTATGATTTGCAATGGTTGCAAAAATAATATTACTGAGCATTTAAATACACGACAATCCCATTATAGCCACTCAACATACACTAGTCCGTTAATCTTCAGATCAACCCTATAAGTAAGTGCTTGTATTACTTTCATTTTAGGATGAAGAAGTGAAGACTCAGAGATTTTATGTGATTTGTCCAATTTACATGCTTTTCAGAAGCGGAACCAGAATTTAAACCTAAGTTGGCCTGACTGCACTGAGATGCCTACATAGTGGCAGTAGGGTCCAGAGAGAATCCATGGATGTTTATATTATATGAGGAGCAGAAGGGAGAGGAGGAGGAAGTGCAGATTTAAAAGCAATGATGGGTTTGGGGCCGAGAGTTAACTCCTCAGGCTGAAGGCAATCAGCTTTGCTTTAATCACCTTGGAATCCTTTTGTGGACAGTCTCAGGACAGAATTGCCCGAGAAATGTGAAATGTATCTGCCTGCCTGTTAAAACAGTCACAGTAGATGTAAAACCAAAAATAACCTGTTAAATCTGTTCAAAGTAAAAACTGGTTTAAAAAAACAAAAATCAAAAAACCAAATACAACATACATAGCACTTTAAAATTATCATGAAATGCCTCCCCAACTGAGAAATGGCATGTGCCTGTTAGCACAAACAATTTGTCAATACGCGTTGGTTGTTATGCCATTCACACACTCCTAGCTCTTTCTTCTAGACTTGTGGACTATCTACCTGAAGTACTGGAAATAGAAGTTTGCCATTTCGGAAGAAAGAAAAAAAAAATGCCACCAACACTCTCTTGGAAGCAAGGCAGAACTAGCTTCTTCATAGGGACTTCTGACCTCAGCTGCTGCACCTCGGGATGCTGTGAAGAGTTTAGTGTCATCCCAGAACTACAGCAATTAGAGAGGGTTACTGTATTGCTGGATGATAAATAAATGAGGCGAAAACTGTTCAGTTGTCTCCTGTCACACTGGGCTCTTTCTGCAAACCAGCCCTACAATGCCACCCTCTACCACAGCTCAGAGGCTCAGGGTTAGAAAGAAACATTGCAAGGGCATCTGGTAGCATCGTCTGCCCGAAGGCCCACCTCCCATGTGACTCCAACTCACCAGATCTCACATTTGATTTGGATTACACCCCTGCTGAGAACATCAAACCTCAAATGGAGGACCCAGGGGGGCTCAGCAAAAAGGTCACCAGATGCCATCTTAAAGGTCTGCCAGCCTTGGCAGCGACTCAGTGCCACCGATTTCCAACTGTGCGCCATCTAACAGGCCTCCAACCCTCTGGAGAAGACAGTCCTGAGTGTGCCAACGCAGTGAATGGGGATCTAATTTCAGTAAATGAAAGCATGTTCTTATTTGGAAGTAATAGCAGATAATCAACACAACCAGACTTTCCTTTTTGAAAAAGACAACA